CTCAGCCTCCCAGAGTGCTGGCATGAGCCACTGTGCCCAGCTGCATAATCAACATCTTTTAGATGTTGTATAAAACTTTATACCTCCTGAACTGAACTAACCTCCAATCTTCTTTCTTAGTATTCATCCCTCTCAGTTGATATAAAATTCATCATTCCAGTAGTTGAAGCCAATAATTCTGAAATCATCTTTGACTCTTTTCTTTCATTTTCTGCATCTGAAGCAAGATGATTATCTTTCAAAAATAGTTAGTATATGACTGCTTGTTACAACCTCTTTTTTCCCACCACCATGGTTCAAGTTACTATTACATTTTGCCGAGATTGTTGTAAAATACTTCTGATCTTTTGACTTCTACTTTTTAAAAAAATCACAGTCTCAAAATAACACTGAGAGAGGTCCTATTAAAATAGGATTCAGATGGTTACACTCCTCTGCTCAAGTCATCTCAATAAATTTGTATCTCAAATTTCTATGTACAGTAAGAGACAAATCTTCATAATTTACCAGCCCTGTGTAAAACCACTCTTCCTCTTGTTCCTTCTGGATCAGCTACACTGTCCTCATGATTGTTTTCACTCTGTGGACTTAACCATCTCCCAGCACTCACAATTACTCTTTCTTCTGCTAAAATGATCTTTCCCATGACGATACACACGTAACACACCTTCAGATCAGCTTTTCAGCTTTCACTCACCACCAATCTTATAATTTTAAATTTTTAGCGTATGTAAGTACTGACTGTCTCTCCTCAATGCTTTATTTTTCTCTTTACGTATATCTTCATCTAATATGTATTTTACTTATTTATCAGCTCCCTATTGTACTAGAATGCAAGTTCTACAAAGTCTAGAATTTTTATTGTTATTATTTTTCCAAAGCATTCCTAGAACCTAGAAGAGTGCCTCACCAATAGTAGAGCTCAGTAAAACATTTTTACATAAATAATTGAATACATTCAAATAAAATATGAGCTGTAAATAATCTTAAGTTTTACAGCCCTGTCTTTTGTTTCTGCACTGAAGATTATGGTCTCCTGTCATAGTACTCAGTCATTCTTATGCCTTCCCTCCTGAGATGTTTCTAGAATTTTGACTTATTCCACTGAATTGTATAGAACAATCAATATGTATAGAACAATTAAGAGAAGTCAAAATTCTAGAAATGCCTCAGAACAATTGTATAGAACAATTCAGTGCTTTTAATTCTCAAACTCATATCCAGGCCCACACTATCTTAGCAAAATCCATGGATATTATCAAGAGGAAAAAAAAATTCCTTTGTTCAAAAATATCCGCTTTTCTGAAAAAGCAGTTGCTTAGCTATTGTATAACCATGGCTTAATTCAGTTTCTAAATATATTACACATAGACATATCCAACCCATCCCTGCCATCTGCTAGGGTTTGTGCATGTCTTCTCAAAAGGATTTTTTATTTTGTTTTTAAACTAACATGTTCATGGAAACTTATGAAAAATCTCTCTGTAGTTTTGGGATGGAAGGTAAGATCGGGGTAGTATGTAAATGTATATATATTTATTATGTGGAATATGTAAGAGAGGAAATATGCTTGAAACAAAAGATCAGTTAAGACATTCACTTTTATAGCTGTGAGGTATAGAGTATCTAGATTGTCATTTAAGGAATAGAAGCAGAAAAAGGAGCAATAGCTACTACCAAGAAATAAATGAATTCAAATGATGACTGGTTTCAGAGAGGAAAATGTACACAAAGAAGAATCAAGATGGGATCAGAAAAGAATTAAACCATTCTTGTTTAGAGATCTTGCCTCCTCTGGAGATACATTTGAAACTTTTAACCTTTTAAGTCATAAGCCATAAAGATACGATGTTAATGCTATATGCCATAACAAAAACAAGGCATATCTACAGTACATTTTCATAAAACATCAATTTAAGCTCTGTCAGTTACATCTGCTCCTGAGAGATTTCACCAGTCATATTGTATTACATCACATGACTGTTCAGAAAATGATTGATAGTATACAGACAGAACACATCCAAATAAATAGGTATCATTAGAAGATCTTTAAATGATCCATGAGCATTTCATATAGGCCTCTAATAGCAAGTATTTTTCAGAATTTTATTTAACACATAGGTTTTAATTCAGATAGTTAAATAAACCTTTATTGGGTTTTTTTTTTTGTGGGAAAGGCAAGGCAGAGCAGTGATGAGATTAGGACTAGCTCATTTGAATAATTTCAGTAGGGCTTTAAACTAGGGGTGGTTCCTTTTTGCGTGGTACCTGGTCTGGGATGGGTAATGCAGGCGACTGTTGCTTCCTGGGGTGTGGGCCAAGTAGAGGAAGTATGGCTCCTTCTATTAGTTTGCATAGCAAAGGCATGCTCCTGGCTGGGCCAATCTCTACAAATAAGCTAACCTCAGTAGAGGCAGTCTTTCCCCAACTAGAAATGATTTTTAAGATGTGCAAAAGTATCATACAGAAAATAAAGTGTATACAATACAGAACCTCAAACAAAATATCAACATGTAGTATAAAGTGTAGTTGGCATATCATCTTCCAGGTATTCATAGCATTTGTATTTTAAAATCTATCAGTTATCTTTCATTTACCCTTAATTTCATCTTTCATTTTGTAATTAATTGCATACTAATGTATAAACTTCTGTATCATTGAGTGACTCTTCAAGAGTTTTAGTTTTGTTTGGGAACTTATAATAAGTTGAGAATAATCCTATTAAAAGAGACTATGAAGGTTGCATTATAAGATGTCAGGTCCTAGTGAGGAATTATAAATAGCCCGCCAGAGGAGCAAAGAACAAATGATGAAAAACTTCTTCACTAAATTGCCTGCAGAAGAACTAATATCTAGGCATATGGCAAACAGGAAGCTCTGATGACAGCACTTTCCATGAAAATATCATGCCCTTTTCCTTTAATTTTCTGTTTTTCCTTTGACCAACAATAAAGGAGCTAGAAATTGCAACTGTTGAGAGAGAAAAAGAAGAACTGAGAAGGAATCAGTATGGTGTTCTCTCCGTCAGGGCCTAACACTGAGTCAGGTCAGATGGTCAAAGAAGAAACACATTAAAGTGAATGACAATGTACATTTTTTTTACCGGAATAATAATGAATTTAATTCCTTCCTTTGATTTACTCGTCTCTATGGCATTTCCTTCCTCTTTGACTCTAGAATCTCAGATGAGTTTTAAAGGGTTTCAGTCTTACTATACTTCCCTCCTTGTTAATCACAAATGACATTCTAGTTTTATTTTTCTATAACATACCCACTGAAAAACTAGCCTCTTAACCAACCATTTTTCAAAATTCTGATTTATGAAACTTTGGACACTTGAGTGAAGAAAAGACTTGCACCTTAGGGAGACTGGTTTTGATAAGCTGATGATAAATATAGAGCGAGTACAAAAGGAGGTCCCCAGTATGCTAGCTACACTATACATGATCACATTCAGGGCTGTGCCTGGTTCTCTATGGGTAATGAATTATAATCAGCTACTAACGCTTCATTACTATGCCCCTCTGCTACATCAGACCTTTCTGTGTTGCCAGAGTAGCCAATAATTACAGCAGACCAAATCTTTCAAGTTTGGCTTGATGCTTAGGATAAGCAATTAGGAAGATCTGCCAGCCAGGACCCATACCTATTGAACCATAAGAAAAAATCTGAGTAAAACGTTAGAAACAAATAATTATAGAGATCATAAACCTATGATTAATATGTAAAATATTTTTTTTTGCCCAAGATTATTAAAAATATTTAAGCAATATTTTAAAAACAAGACAACTTGCATAAAAATTAAGATTTGGAGATTATCATAACAGTCTTATATTCCTACTGTTAAGAAATCAGAAGAGGCTGATTTGTCTCTGTACTTAATAGAAGATATTTTCTCTCGTGTGTGTGTTTACATATATATATATATATATATATACATATATATATATATATGTATATATACATATGGAGGAATATAGCCATTTTGTTCACATCTTTGATTATTTTATATATGTATCTCTCTTTCACACACACACATGTGCACACATACACACACACACACACACACACACATATATACACACAGATTAATTATAAGGAATTGGCTTATGCAATAATGGAGGCTGAGAAGTCACAAGACCTGCCATTAGCAAACTGGAGATCCAAGTGCTGCAGATTAAATCTTTATATTGTGAAACTCGATTATACATATTTGGCTATTCTTGTCATATACAACTAAATCAGTCAAGGGGTTAGGTAGAAAAAAACATTGAGGGCACATAACATCAACTCCAAAACTGAATTTTCTACCAGGCCACCTGCTAAAATGCATTGCTGCAGCTCTAGGACCAATTTTACCTCGTAGCTGTTTAAACAACCTGCCATGACTCTAAGACTAGTTTTAGCCACTAACATCACCAATTAGAGCTTTCCAGCCTCTAAAAGATTTTCTAGTACCAATGAGCATTATTTTAAAACAATATGTAACATTTTTCTTTCTAATAAAACCTCCAAACTTCTCTTAGTTCTTCAGACATATACCAAAGACCACTCCAGTCTGTCTGTATGCTCTGAATTGAAGTTCTGTGATTCTTGAATAAAACGTGTAATTTGGATATTCATCTCTACATTTTATTTTGACTTCAACAATGCTCCCCCTGTTAAAGTCAAATCTATATATTGAAATTCTGTCTCATAATGTGATGGTATTAGAAGGTGTGGCCTTTGGGAGGTCATTAGGATTAGATGAGGTCATGAGTGTGGAGCCCTTATGAATGGGATTAGTCTCCTTATAAAAGAAGCCAGAGAGAGCTCCTTTGTCCCTTACACCATGTGAGAACACAAAGAGAAGATAGCATCTGTGAACCGAGATGGGGGAACTCACCAAACACCAAATCTGCTGGAGCTTTTATTTTCTATGTGCCAGACTTCATAACTGTGAAAAACAAATGGCCATTCTGTATTATCCAACCAGTTTATGGTAGTATTTTATTGAATTCTTTTTTTTTTATTTTGCATACTTTAATTTCAGAACAAAATGAACAAACAAACAAACAAAAACCACAATACACAACATCCAATCCTGCTGTCAGAGTAGGGAAAGAATGGGGGCTTGACACCTTGTTTCCTGCCTTCAACCAAAGGACAGGACAGAAAAACACCAGACATCAGCAGGGCGAGCCAGGTGGGAGAGGGGCACTCAAGGCTGCAGGGGGAGCCATGGGGACACTATACAAGGGCAGTTTTCCAACTATAAAGTCCTAATCTACTTCTTCCATGCGAGACGCATCCTCATCACCCTCAAGAGGAGGGATCTCATCAGGAACTGCAGCACTGGGTTCCTCTGCTGCCACATCATCTTCATCGATACCTAGACCTAACTTGATCATGCGGTAGATGCGGTTGGAGTGGGTCTGGGGATCCTCAAGGGAAAAGCCAGAAGAGAGCAGGGCGGTTTCAAACAGCAGCACCACAAGGTCCTTAACTGCCTTGTCATTCTTGTCTGCCTCCGCCTTCTGCCGCAGCGTCTCCACAATAGGGTGGTCAGGGTTTATCTCCAGGTGGTTTTTGGCCATCATGTAGCCCATGGTGGAGTTAACAGACTAAGATGCCAGGAGAATTGATGGTGTAAGTGATAGACTGAAAATCAGCGGACTATAGACTCAATGATTGTTTTACAGATTGAGTCTAAAGGCCGAAAAAGAAAAATAGCTCAGTAGCAGGGAGAAGGTGTTCCTTCTTAGCCATTTTGTTCTGTTCAGATCTTTAATTGATTAAATGAGGCCTTTCCACATTATGGGGGGCAATTTGCCTTACTTAGTCTACTAATTTAAATGTTAATCTTATCCAGTAACATTCTCACAGACGAACACATAATAACATTTGTTCAAATATCTGGGTACCCTGTGGTCCAATCTAGTTGACACAAAAATTAACCATCACAAGCCTACCACTTGTCAATTTGGCACCCATGCACATATCCTTGAAGTATACTTAATCACCAAATAAAGAAAATAATAATTTTACATAAGGTAACAAGAGAGAAGATAACAAAGATATTTTTATCTATCTAAATATATATGTATATACACTCATATTCATAATGAAATAAGGAGAAAATACTCATGACAATTACAGTTCTAGTTTATATAATTGGTCATATGGTTGCAGCTGGTATTTATTATTGCCTTCTTTGACTATCCATTTTTTAATCTTTTTACCTACAGCAATCCCCTCACTTGGTCATGGTTCTTTACTTGGTGACGTGATACACATCTTCATTCCTAAAGTTTTGAGTCATTAGTAGTTGTGTTAGTTCATTTTGTGCTTCTGTAAGAGAATACCACAGACTGAGTAATTTATAAGAACAAAAATTTATTTCTCAAAATCCTGGAAGTAGGAAAATACAAGATCAAGGTGCCAGCAGCCTCTCTTACTGTATCTGCATGGCAGAAGGCAGAAGGGCAAGAGATAGCAAACCTGTTTCTACAAACCCTTTTTATAAGGACATTAATCTACTAATGAAGGCAGAGCCCTCATGATCTAAACACCTTCAAAAGGTCCCACCTTCCAACACTGGCATTGAGAATTAAGGTTCCAACCCATGAATTTTGGGGGCTACATTTCAACCAAAGCAGTAGTCTTTCCTAGGTTGAGTTATTGTAGCTTTTTATTCACTTCAGCTTGACAGTCATTTCTTGGAACTCAGAAAGAAATCTTATAAATACCATCCTCGAAAGTTTCAGGACATTAAATGATCTTATTTAAATCACTACCTCCTACCCTACTAATCTCCTAAACTTACATCCAACAGAAGTTACAAATTGTCTAGCCAATTCGAATATACACAGCAAGATCCCTGTAAAAACCTAACTATCCGTAATGGCAACAACTCTTTTCCTGCTCAGAAACTTAAGGGCACATAGAGGAAAAAAAGGTGAATACAATTCGTCTTATACCAGAAATATCAGGTCAGAATAGTAGAAACTTTCCTATAAACCTATCAGATATAAAATTTGAATCTAAAAAATACCTGATTTCCAGAAACATTTTCTTTTTAATTACAAAGACTTTTTTGCATAAAATGCAACAGAGCATAACATATTTCATTTAATTATTTTATCATCAAATTTATGTTTGTGAGTTGGAAAGAAAAAGATTTAAAATATGTTACTTGGCCTATTAAATTCTTAACTATTAAATTAGTTTTTGCATATGGAAAATTAAAGTATTTGGTTTATTTCCTTTATTATTATGATATTGAAAAATGCTTCTAATATCCAGATTATACTAAGTTATATTGAGAGACAATACTATTACAATCTGATATATTTTTCAAGTCTGTTTAATTTGCTTAAAAGCATTTTCTTGGATGTTCTGAGTCAGTTTTTTCTAAGTTATGAGAGCCATTGCCAAAAGTACCTGGTTTAATTAAAGTCACTTTTTGTTTTTGAAGTAGTTGTTTCTAATGTATTATGTCTAACTTAAATATTCACCAAGGGAAAATTTTATTTTGTTATAACCAAGCATCATAAATTATTTCCATTCAAAGTAATACTAGAAAATTATTCGAATAAGAGTAGCCCTACTTAAGCATAAAGTACTCGTCATTTGTAGAAACACTTGCATTATAATGTTTCCATATGCAAAGGCCTGATGGAATCGATGTTTCTCAAAATACTGAGGTTTATACTTAGAGAAGATGAAACTCATGTGTTTAAAAAATAATATGTTCCATATGTTTCTAATTGCATTTTAAAAGTTACTGCATTAAAAAGTATAATCCAAAACAAATTGAATTTCTGGCTTCATGGTTCATCAGCCCAAGAACAGCTGTTGGAATCAAACATAATTTTACCCCATTGTTAACTAATGTCAGTATAAGCATCATGGCAGAAATCATAATATACATCTATATATCTATTAGTCTCCCCTGAACACATGGGAGAATTATTCTAGCTTGTTTTTAGTCATGCAGGACCAAATGTCTGGTTCCAGCCACTGAAATCTGTGTAAAAAATAAAGATATAATGTGTGCATGCAATTGTGTGTTCTTCTAAGGCAAAGTGTTTAACTGGCTAATGCAAGAGCCTCCAACAGCCACAAGAGTCATATATCTCTGCTGGTGCAATTTCAAGATAACAGAGCTTTTCTATCCAACATATTTGAGTCAGTATGTATAGCAGAGACTACATTGACCCATGATGGACACGTTATGTAAACAAGATATAGTCTTTCTTGGATTAAGCCACTGCCATTTGGGAGATAATATGTTATTGTAGCATTATCTAGTCTAAAATAATACACATGTGTTTGCATATATTTTTACCATTTATTAATTATTAATAAACAGCATTTAATAACCAGCAATAGAAATAATGTCTCTCCAATTGACCATTACAGGTTATTCTATTTTGTTCATGAAAATCCAAATATTCTATGTGCATGTCTATGTGTCTTTTGCTTTATATCTTCTATTTTCTAAAACTAGTCCTATGACAATTATTAAGAAGTTAGCTCCTTTATTCAACATTATTATAAATGTATTTGGTGGTCTGTGTTTTTTGGGGGTTTGTTTGCTTTTATTATGACAGATAGGAAAAAGAGTCATTGCTACGTTGTATGTAAAAAGTTTTAGCTACCTATTGGGTTGTAAATATACTATGTGAGTCTAGAGCTATATCTTATGAACTATTTTTAAAATGATTAGTTTTTTAATAAAGTCATTTTACCATCTATAGTGTCAGATAAATAGCATTACCATGAACAGTCTGGTCAACTAGAACATCTAGACCGTGAATCCCATTTGTCTTACCACTATCAATGACTTTTTTTTTTTTTTTGTTAGAGTTTCCCTTCTTTTTTAGGGTTTCCAGTTTTTCCTGTGCTCCATGCATTCTATCTTCTAATTCTGTTTCTTTCTCTACATGTAATTTATTTTCTAAAATTAATCACCTATTTCTGTTTTTCGAATAATGCTTTATGCTGTTACCTAATGAAAATATATGTGGTAGATTACAAAATTATTGATATTTTCAAAATAATATTTCTCATTTGAGAATGTTATACCATATTATATTTTTTCTAGAGAATTTTAGATAAACCAAGGTAGAAGCCAATCTAGTCATTAATAAAGAAAATAATGAAATTAGTTCATATCTCTTTGTGATTCATGTATATTTTTAATAGCAACCTTTAAGTACATAGGATTTTCTTTTCATTCCTTGACTTCTATAACTGTATGCTTGTTCAAGTTAAAAATGACAAGTGCTTGAAATAGTTTTGTTATCTACATAAATATAAAAGAAAGCATAATGTTATGCATTCATAATAATTAAGTATCCCTTCATTAATAATATTTCTTTATATTTCTTCAGGGAACCCTTAAATTTAACACTTCATCATAAAACAAAGCAATATATGTAGAAGGCAAGCTTTATGTTTAAATCAAAGCAATATATTTTGAAAGCAAAGTTAATTATTATTATTATTATTTTTTTTTTTTTTTTTAGACGGAGTTTCGCTCTTGTTACCCAGGCTGGAGTGCAATGGTGCGATCTCGGCTCACCGCAACCTCCGCCTCCCGGATCCAGGCAATTCTCCTGCCTCAGCCTCCTGAGTCGCTGGGATTACAGGCACGCGCCACCATGCCCAGCTAATTTTTTGTATTTTTTTTTTTAGTAGAGATGGGGTTTCACCATGTTGACCAGGATGGTCTCGATCTCTTGACCTCGTGATCCACCCGCCTCCGCCTCCCAAAGTGCTGGGATTACAGGCTTGAGCCACCGCGCCCGGCAGTTAATTATTTTTAATAAAGGATATGGTTACATGGCATAGTTGCCAATATTAGAAAATGAAGGGGAGTGGCAATAGAAGAAACTAGATAACAGTTAAGGAATTCTTGTTACAAACAGAAGATTGTAGCTCAAACATAAGAACATAGAGCAAGTTAAATTGATTGTTTCAGTACTTTCTGTCATACTTAGAGAGACTACTTCAACTCAGAGTAAGTGGGCCAATTAGAACAACTCAAAAAGATTGTCAAAATTTTATTAAGTCAAGTTAAAATAAAGTTTCAGATAAAATTGTTTCTTAATCTGAATTAATATATGGGTTGAAAATGATCTAGTGATACAGTGTCAAAGCATTCTAGAGCTTTGGGAGAAAACTAAGAGATCATTTGAATAAATTCTTTTTTTGAAGCATTGAAAATTGAGGCTCAGAAAAGTAAAGTGAGCTATTTGTGCCATAAAGCTGTTGACACTTAAGCTTTTTAAATTTAATATTGCTTCTGTTGTTCATTTCTTTGAGGTTTTAAAATTTATTAGTTTCCCACTTTTTTTCTTTCTTAATGCTATAATAATGTTAAGGAAATTAGCACTGTAGTCCTAAGACAAGACATAATGTGTGCCTGCAATTGTGTTTACTTTAAATTATAATGCAGTTTCTAATAGTATTACCTTTGTAACTATTTGCTAGTGAGATATCCTACAGTTATTTCTTACATTTACTAGAAGCAAGCACAGAGAATATTTGACTCCTAGAAAAGTGATCTCTGGATCCTGTGACCAAAGGATCAACAGATTGTAGGTTTTAGAAAAGC